AGCCTCCCTGCGTGCTGTGGCACGTCACTGGCATCTGTGGATCCCCGCAACCCATACCGGTGCCCCCCAGCCTGGTGAGGAGGTGCTGACCCCCAGCGTGCCCTCCCTTGCCACCCCCCCATGCCTGCTTGAGGTCTGCGGGGTCCAGCACCACGCGCGCACCATATTTTACCAGCACAATTTCCTCCTTGGGTGTCAGTGATGGGAGCGGGGGCGGAGATGGGGGGAGCCCGGGGGAGACACAAATGTGTGACTGCAGCATCCTCACTCTCGCGGCTGCATCCCTCACGCCTCCTCACAGTTGCCTTAGCAACCTCTTGTCGATGGGGTATTTATAGAGAAGACCAATGCGTGTTGGGAAGCCGGAGGGGGAGACAGGACTGGGTGGGCGTCTGCCAGGTCAGCTTCCAGCTTCAGGCCTTGTGTGGCTGTGTGGAGGCAGGAGGGATGCTGCTCGCCTTGGTGTCCGTGCATGCCATGGTCCAGCTTTTCCTGCTCATCGGAGCTGGGGGAGGTGGTTCGGAATTCACACATAGAAATAAGGACAGACGTTCCAGATGCCTGTTCTTCTCACAGGCATTGCTCATGCTTGTAGGTTTGGATACACCTGGCTTATTGTTGCACTGGAATAAACCATCTCTGGGCTCTGACACTGGGTGCATCAGCACAGATTCTTGGAAAAAAGTTAAAGATAGAATCTTCCTGATGCATTAAACGTGTTGCCCAATGCGTGATGTGGGTTATGGAGTTGAGGGTCCTGACAAATCTGGTCTTGAATGTCCTTATTTTTGCGTCTCTGTTCTCCTGTCTATCAAAGGGAGAGAATAGCCTGTAGCAATGAGCGATACAGAGCCTTTGTGTGGAAACTGTGGCAAGTTTTCCATACCATGGACTCTTTCATTCTGTGGGTTTGGATCTCTGTAAAAACTGCTGACAACAAAAGCAGGCCAGCTAGTCCCTGCTCAGGGGAGCTGACGCAGTCTGTGGGGGAATGCATGGATCCAGAGGCCTCGCAGCTGCTCTCATATTCCCCAGAATGGCTCGGAGAAGTGGGATTGGGTGCACAGTTTCTTGAGAAAAGGCCTCCTGGTACGGGCTGTGGGGCACAGGAGGTGACAGTCCTCTCCTGTGTAATTCTGGTGCTCTGCTGCTTTCCCTCACTCCTGCTTAAACTGCAGACTGAGGTTTGCAATCTGAGTTTTGCAAACTGTTGGAAAGAAACAGCTTTCTGCCTCTGGAGACAGCTCCAGGCTTGCATAGCCTCCTGCCAGTGTTGGTGCAGGAACCTCAGAAACCACAGGAAAGCCAATGTTGGCAGGAAGAGGTGCTAGATTTACTGAGAAAGTGGCTGATGGTGAGGTGTGGTAGTGCCTGCTGTGGTTGTGTGCCTGGATGCCTGCCTTTTCTGTGAAATGAGAAGTGTCTTTCTAGCCCAGTTGACCCCATGAATGGCCCTGTTCTGTCCCTGACCTTGTTCCAGCTGAGCGAATTCCAATGCTTTTGGGATAACTCCGAATATCTTAAGTCCTGCAGCTGAGATCAGCACGTGGTTTAGTTCCTGCTGTTTCTAACTGTGTTTGCTCCTTCATCCACAATAAAACCCTGTAGGAGCTGGTCAGTCCTGTCCCCTCTGTGGCTTTGCCACAGCAAGGTGTCACACAGGGCGAGAGGAGATGACTTTGCCCAGGACAGTCTGATTGGTGGGGCATTGTGCACGGGGAGAAAACAAAGTGTGAAAAACGAGTGAAACTGCTCCTCAGCAGAGAGGAGTGTGCTCTGCTTCTGCAGGACTTTGTTTCACTCCTGTGGGGTTTTGTTTAGTTTAGTTTTGCTTTTGAAGCACAAAAGGTGCTTTTCCAGCTGGAGAGCTGTTGTCCTGGGTGTGCAGGGAGCTCTGTCACTCTTGCTGCTGCTCTCAGCTTGGTCCAACAACCTTTAGGAGATGCTTATCCTTTTCTTCCCTGCTGCATACTGGGCTTTACGGCAGCGGAGAAAACGGTATGACCCTGTTTATTTCAGATTGTGGGTAGGAGTTGCAGAAGTGAGAACTGGCATGGCTGTGAAGTTGATTTAAAACAGGATGACTGCTTTACCTGGATCCATCAATCTCTTCGGGAAGGGAAGAGCACCAGGCTGCTCCCAGCAGCTTCTGACATACAGGTCATCTTGTCTGCTGATGAGATATGGGGACTCTCCTTCATCCAGTTCTTCCTTTCCTACTTCACTGAAAGTCTGCAGCCCTCTGGGCTTCTTGGGCAGGGCCCTGGCCCTCCCTGGGCTGGTGCAGCACAAGTATGGCAGAGACCTGCCCCAGGCTTCCAGAGAGCTGAGGGTGCCCTGAGCCCCTCTGGTCCCTCCAGCCATGCAATGGGTGAGGAGGCAGTGTGAGTCCTTGGCTCTCTGAAGAGGCACTGCTTGGCTGAGTACTGTCCTGGGTCCACCAGACAGTACCCATTCTGCATGAATCTGACCCTCGGCCATGAAGGTCTTGGGCTTCAGGGGGTGAAATTTAAGCTGTCAGTGACTCTCCTGTTTTTTTCCCTGCAGGTAGGCAGGAGCCCCCCGTAGCCAAGGGAAGCGGCATGGCAAGTAAGTGTTCCCTAGTCAAGATGGAGAGGTGGCCGTGGTGCTGGAGGAGAGAAGAGGGATGTTTGGCAGCCACCTCTCAGGGAAGGGGTGCCTGTGCTTTTTGGGGGTGTTATTCTCTGTGGGGAGCAGTTGTCATCGGCTGTTACCCTTGGATGAGGTGTGAGGTCCAGCCTGACTTGTGTTTCTCTCTCCCCTGTGCAAGGTGGGAGTCGAGAGGAGGTGCTGAAGGGCTGACCTCTCTGGGACTCCCTGTACGCCGCAGCATTTATTTGCGTGATGCTCCCTGTGCAAGGCAGGCCTCCCTGAGGCTCTTGGGATGGACTGGCCCCTCTGCAGGGGCTGCCGATCTGAGCTGACATCTCCCAGCAACAGTGCTCCTCATGGCCCACGACTGGTATCCCATGAGCTGCGCAACCTGAGGGCCGCACTGCCTTGTAGCCCGTGTGGCTGGTGGCACTGAGGCCCTGCGTTCCCAGCTGCCCAACTTGGCCCTGCCAGGAGCTCTCTGCGTCTCGGTGTCTGAAGGAGTGCCTGGCAGATGGAGCTGCTCAGGACCAGCAGCTAAAGCTGGGCTGAGACTGGTGAGGGTGCAGGGTGGAGGATGGCGCACGGTCTGTAAAGAGCTGGACTCAACCTTCCCTCCTCACTCTTCTGGGCAGCCTGCGTGGAGGCTGCGTGCAGTGATGCGATGGGAGCTCAAGGAGGACTGCAGTTGTGAACAGGGAGATGTAGAGATCTGGCTGGGATCTCAGGATTTGCTCAGGGTGTTGCCGGAGCCAGCTATGAAGCTGGAGGCAGTAGCCACGCTGGGCAGGAGGAGGACCCTGGGATGACAGGTATGCCTTCATTCGTTATCTGTGCTGTGCTAGGTGGGGGAGGGAGCAGAGGTCTTCAGGCAATGTTTTTAAAAGGCAGTTTTAATCTTCTGTTAATGAGGAGGGTACCCAGCTGGGTCTCTGCCTTCCTCCACTGCTGCCTTTTCTCCCTCCCAGAGCTCAGGTGCTGGCTCACCAGCGCTTACTGGTTGTGGGAGGTGTCTCCTGTGCTGGCAGCATGCCCCACCAAGCAGTCCCCTTTGTGACAGCCTGACGTGCAGGAGGAGGAGAAGGTTGCGGCGGTCAGCACGTTCGCCGTCAGGCACTCTCTGACAGCGAGCAGCCCTGTGCAGACACAGCCACATGTCATTATGTCGTTCTGCAGAGGAGCAGCCCGGAGGTATCCCCACAAGCTGGGCAGCCGAGCTGTGGGTAGTGGCGTGGCCAAGCCTGCCTGCCACCAGGGGCCAGCAGCACCTCAGCAGACCCAGCAGGGCTGCAGTAAACCCAGCCCTTGCTCCTGCTCCCCTTGCCTAAAGCTCTAATCTTTCCTGAGCACCGGTTCTCCAGCTGGTGTGGGGAGACTTGGAGAGGCACAGGGGATCAGTACCGAGGCTGCTGGGCTTTGGGAAGTCTCCTCTGCCCTGCGGTTGGGGGACAGCATCTGCTTAGCTGTCTGCTCTTCCCATCAGTTGGGGATCCAGGCTGGAGATGAGAGTTGGCAAGGCTCTTGTTTCCTGAAGGCCGTTGTTTTTTCTGCTCTGGTCCCCAGGCATGTGGAAGCTCTTTGCACTTTCTGTGTAATAGAGGGGAGGGAGCGGTGACTTAGTTTCTGCTCTTCTGCCATTTCTAGGTCTCTGAGGGAAATTGGATGTGGGGCATGTATCTCCATCGCAGCATGCTTTCAGTGGGGACGTTGCTTGTGATACCTGCCTGCCTGTTTTTATTTCCCACCATAGTGGCCAGTTCAGCACAGCAAAGCAGGGAAAGGGTCGAGTGGCTGGTTCCTGCAGGGATGGAAAACCCTGATGGTGACATCTGCAGCCAAGCTTGTTGCTCCATGGTGTGCTGAGGAAGTTGGAAAGAGGCTCAGACTCAAGTGCCAAGGAGGGGAGAGTTGATACCGCAGCCTGATCCAGGTGGGAGGCAAAGGAGGTGAGGCCAGACTTCACCAAAGGATGGGACATTTGCAGAATGAATGGTGTCTTTGTAAAATTTCGTCTTATTCTGGAAAGGCTCAAGAGAATGTCGGCCTGCCAACCTGCTCCCTCTCCAGCCAGGATAGTCCTCCTCAACTGCGAAAGCCAAGGCAAGCTGATTCCTGCCCTCCTGTGAGATGCCTTCTGTGCATCTTGAAAATGCTTTTTTGGTTGTCCTTGTTAAAAACAAACCAAAACAAAACCAGTTTGCATAATAAAGTTGATTCTGAGGGAAGGTCTCTGACTCATATCATTCATGCTGCTCTTCATTCACACCTCAGTGGTTCAGCAAACTGTCTCACTGAAGCAAGCCATTAATAAATCACGGGGGAAAAGTGCACCTACACAGCACGAGAAGAGCCCAGTGCACCCAAACACGGGATGGTGAAGCACAGTAGGAGTTGCTTATGCCACGATCTTGTCTCTGCCTTGACATTTACAAATAATGTCACAAATACTTTGCTGTATTGTTTTAGGAGCAGGTACATGGAATGTAAGGCTGAAGGAAACCTGCCAGTCTCCTAATGAAAGAAGCTGGTAGCTTTTCACTAGCTGTTACGTTTGATCTTCACCAAGCTCCTTATTGAAGGAGTATTTCTGTGTTACAGCCAAGCTGGTCTAACGGGAGGCTCCGGCTGTCCCCTTGCCTCTTTGTCCTGCATCTGTTGATGTTGCTGCAGTGGGAGCTGGTTTGTCTGGTTGATCCGGTAAGACTGAGCCTGAGGGTGAAGGAGATAAATAGGTTTCTGTGGATCAGCCAGCTGAACCGATTCATCTTCCCCAAGGGAAGCAGCACGATTATGTGGCTGGGTGGGAAGAGATGGTGCCAGCCTACAGCTGAGAGTGTTGAGCTGCATTACGGAAACACTCTTACGAAATGTGTAATGTTTGGATCCTGGAAGAGTTGTGGTTTGTATGGAGTTTCTGTTTCTGGGCAAGAACTCATTTGCCTCTCCTGTGCTGCTGCAGGTCCTGGTAGGTACTTGCTCCTTGTACCCCATGGAGGTCTCTCTTGCAGAATATGGGGGGAGAGGCTTTGAAATGGCTGTGTCTCTTGCAGGCAGGAAGGTGCTGTTCCTGCTCAGTCTGGCTTCCTGGCTGCATGCTCTGTGGGAAGATGTGATGTGAGCAACATAGAGTCTCACAGGCTTTGGGAGCAAAGGAAGGTTTTTGAGGCCTCTGCATCAAAATGCAGTAGGAATGAGAATATGATGCCACGTTGGCCTCTGTGCTGTCCCTGAATGTCGGGGATGTTTGCACTTGTTGGGCCTGAGCATGGGAGAAGACACAGCAGTTTCTCTGGGACCTGAACAGAGTCCCTGAAGCCACCGGAGCTTGCATGACCCCTCAGCAGCTGGCAGCAGGGACACCAGCAGGTCGTCTGTCCTCCTCCTGCGGGCTGTGGAGGTGTGAAGCAAGAGAGGTGGCTCTGGGATGATGCACAATGCACTGTGTGTTGTGAGTCCGTCTCGGTGCTGGCCCCGTGTCTTGGCTGAGTGGCCCGGCTCTATGTCCCAGCCCTGTGGGGTCTTGCTCGCCCGGTGGGATCTCCCTTGCCCTGCAGCAAAGGAGCAGCAAGGTGAAATCCCGTCAAAGGCCGGAAGTTGGAAACGAGTCTTTCTGGAGCCTTGTGTCTCTTCTTCAGCTGCCCTGTGTGGTCTGCAGCTGCCGCTTCCGATGTCACTAGCATCTCAGCCCTGCTGAAAGGATGCTCTTCGTGCCGTATGTTTCCGGGCAGACCCCAAGAGCCCTGTGCCCCTCTGGGTGTGCTCTCCCTCAGTGGGCACTCTGCTCTGCTAACTATATTGCGGCGCTGGACTTTTGGTGTTTGGGATGCCTGTATCACCAAAATGCTGTGGGAAGCCAGATGGGAAAGTCTTCCCGGGCAGAGGCCAAGTGTGGGGTTGTCTCTGCTCAGCATGTCTCTGCCTT